AGCTGGGAGCTGAGAACTGGCGACTTTGTAGTACAACTTTAGTACGCGGAGTAGCCGGGGAGCTGGAAGCTGAGAACTGGCGACTGTCTAGTACAACTTTAGTACGCGGAGCAATCTGTGGAGCTGGAAGCTGAGAACTGGCGACTTTGTAGTACAACTTTAGTACGCGGAGTAGCTGTGGAGCTGGAAGCTGAGAACTGGTGACTTGGTAGTACAACTTTAGTACGCGGAGCAATCTGTGGAGCTGGAAGCTGAGAACTGAGAACTGGCGACTTTGTAGTACAACTTTAGTACGCGGAGTAGCTGGGGAGCTGGAAGATGAGAACTGGCGACTTGGTAGTACAACTTTAGTACGCGGAGTAGCTGGGCGGTGGGAAGATGAGAACTGGCGACTTGGTAGTACAACTTGAGTACGCGGAGTATCTCGGGAGCTGGAAGATGAGCACTGGCGACTTTGTAGTACAACTGTAGTACGCAGAGTAGCTGGGGAGCTGGAAGATGAGAACTGGCGACTTGGTAGTACAACTTTAGTACGCGGAGTATCTGGGGAGTGGGAAGATGAGAACTGGTGACTTGGTAGTACAACATTAGTACGCGGAGTATCCGGGGAGCTGGAAGATGAGAACTGGCGACTTGGTAGTACAACTTGAGTACGCGGAGTATCTGGGGAGCTGGAAGATGATAACTGGCGACTTGGTAGTAGAACTTTAGTACACGGAGCAATCTGTGGAGCTGGAAGATGAGAACTGGCGACTTTGTAGTACAACTTTACTACGCGGAGGTGACTTTCGAGAGGTGAAGAACTTGCAGAAAACAGGTGTTCCTGCGCTTCAGAAAGACATACAGAGAGAGACACATACACACAAAGACATAGATACACACACACAGAGACCCACACACTGCCTCAACACACTCGACTTAACACTTCACACTGAACACTTATAACACACTTAACAGATAACTCGCACTCTGACTTCCTACGTGATGAAAAATGCTTTCGGGCCACTCGTCGTCTAGTTTTTTTTACTCTCACATGGAGGGCCTGGGTGGTTTTGGTTCGTCCCATCCAGTGGATGTGACAGGAGTACCCCTATCCTTCCTTCCTCCGTTCGTTCGGTACCTGGTCGAACGTGACCTGTGGGAAAACCACTTTAACATATTTTAACAAGTCCCTGACAGTCGTTGGGACTGGAGCGGAGCCAAACCATCTATGATTCGAAGGATGTCAGGATGGTCGAAGCTGTGTGTTTCCTCAATAGACATGGAACGTGTGTCAAGCCCACCGATCCCTGTTGGCGAGAGGGTGCATTTGGAAGGTAACTCCGCTCAAACGTTTCTTGTCACATGGGTTTGGCTCCAGAGCCCAAACAGGATCACCTGAACAAACAACGTTCAGAACACCAGCTGTGCCAGGGTCATATAGCAATACTGAAGGGCAAAGAGTCGCGGAATGACAATGTTCATGGCCAGGCATTGTTGTTTTCATGCTTTTTTTCTGCAGGTACAAACACCTGACATGCCTCCAGCTACATGGAGAACCCCTCAAACAATGCACTTCGCCATGCAGGTCCTGCCCATGTCTGGCCAATTCGTTGGTCACAACTTTTGCTCGGGCTTCCGGGCTTTTTGGGGTTGGTGACCACCAGCTGGGGTGATAGCATGCAGGCCCCTAGGGTGTGAGACCTTCCATGAACATTACTTTGGGCTGAGTATGGGAAGTGTGCCCTTCCCAGCAAGGAAAACAAATGATTCTTTCAGTGGGTGGGGGCTGCGTTAGTCTGTTTTGTCTTTGACAATTTGGCTCCTATCTTTGTCTGCAAAATAAGCAAACAAACCATCCCGTGCATGCTACTTTCCCAACTTACTCAGGAGGTCCCAATACAACACCTCTCTTTTCGTAGCAAGCTCATTTGCCAAAACCTCCCCACATGCAGGCTTTGGCCGATCCAATTCTGCATCTGTCTGCCCTTCTGCCCTTCTGCTCTCCCGTCCTGTCTTTTTCGCTTAAGCGCCGCTGTCTCCATGGGTCAAACGTCGTCGAACGCGTTTTTGCGGTCAAGGGGCGTCGCAAGGCTGCAGGCGGTGTTCTTCTCGTCAATCAACTGCTGGGAACCTCATGGCAAACGCCGCGAAAAGAAACCAAAGGACACTGCGACAAAATAAACCAATAAATTAGCAGAAAAGAAGCCTTTTGCATGTTTGCCAGGTTGAAAGAATATCTATAACATATGATAAACAAATAATTCTATACATCTAGATTTGGCTGGACCCTCAGCTTAGGTCACCAGCTACTGTAAAGGACTCTCAAAACCTCTTGTGGACCTCGAGACGGTGCAATGACGACCTCGTGGGTCAGAGAGGGTCTCGATGAAACACTAGTGGATTGAGAGATAGCGCAAACCCCAAGACGTGGTTTATATGGACCTCCATCTAAAGGGCATCATGGGGTCTGTGCCATCTACTCTGAAACCACTGTACACTTGCAAGATCCAACCACCTGCTTGGCTACCTCTCCTCTCTGGCGGCTGCCACTCCTTGCCCCACCCAGAAGACTGCATGTCAATTTGATCAAACGGCTGGATAAATCATCTGAGTCCAGTCATGACTCGTTTATACCGGGTACATCCGGGTAGTAGGGTTCTAGGGAAGTGGTTCGATTCAAGACTTCCTGGTGGGAATACTTCAGTAGACATAAGGTCTATACCCTTCCTGTGACGACGTAACCGCAGGGACGGACCGTCAGCGCAGCGTGCTGCCGCACGGCCGATGAGCGCGCGAGGCCGTCGTCCCCAAAAGGCATGGGATGCAAATGATCCTGAGCGTGTATGGGCAGCAAAAGCAAAAACGCAGCCGCCCTTGTT